AAGGTCGACCCTTTCTCGGATTGTATACTGGTTTGTTTGATGTGTTTATTGATCTATTAGATCAGCGTCCTGGTAATTAGGACGGTATTATTTTTAGCGACCTGGTTTAGGTCGGTATCCTGGTATATAGGATGATGTTATGTTTAGTGACCTGGTTTAGGTCGGTATCCTGGTATATAGGATGATGCTATGTTAGTGACAAGTTAGGTCAGTATCTTGGTTATAGGATGTAGCTATGATATATGATCTGTTAGATCGGTTTGTTTATCTATAGACTGTTATGTGATTATTTGTTATATGTGCACATGGTTGTTTGATTGGGGGTTGGGTTGAGGTGGTCATGCTTTGTGCCGTAGGCCAACATACCCAGGGCGGACCGGATAGACTGCAGACCCGGGAGGGTACATAGTCAGGCCGAAGGCCCGGCGAGCGGTCCGGATAGGCTGAAGGCCTCGAGAGGGCGGTCCAGACGTGTCGAGGCTCCGAGAGTGGGCCATATAGACTGAAGGCCCGGTGTGGGCGGTCCAGTCATACTATAGACTCAGAGAGTGGACCAGGTGGACTGAAGGCCCGGTGCGTGCAGACCAGTCACACTGTAGACTCGAGATGCATGGTTGTTCTGTATTTGTTGATATTATATGATTATGGTTATATGAGGTTGGTATTTTGGGGGTAACTCACTAATCTTTCAGACTTACAGTTTCAGTTTATTGTTTCAGGTTTAGCGGATGGCCGCGGGAAGGCGAAGGCGTGACCGTACACTTCCTTGATTGATGATTATGATTTCTAGGAACTCTGATGTTTAAATTATTTTGAAAACAAGTTGTAATGACTGAATGGTTTTAAATGATTTAAAAAGTTTTAAATTGGCTCGAATTTTATGGATGTTACAGGAGTTGTGGAAGACTAAGAGTTTGCATTCGAGCGTGATTGCTGACTGTGTGAGCTGTGTGGAAAAACTTATAGCCTAGCGGTATTAGGAGGGGACAGAAATGTGTCTTTTAGCCAAAAGTTGAGCGTTCTAGTGTCACTAGAGAAAAGGTGTAGATTTAGAAGTAGGATTATAAGTGTATGTTAGCTTTTCTTAATTAAAAAAAATGACGATTTGTACTTTTTATTTTCTTAATTCGCTTTGTTTTCCAATTTTTCCATGTTGATTTATTCTATTTTTCACGACTTCTGAATTTCTTGATTTCAAGCGATTCCCTTAGCAGACTGGAGTAACTCTAAAAGTTCTTTCGCCTAGATTAACATACATACCATGATACATTGATGAGAAATTTCCAGAAATAACCAAAAAGGAGGGGACTTTTGAAGAAAATAATCATCTAAATGAGGATTATGAAAAATGACCACAAGTTCCGCAAAGGGGGTTCTGCGGAACCACAAACACCTCTGTGGAACCATGAACACCTCTACGGATCTTGGTGTTTTTAATTTTTTTTTTCGTTTTTTCGTTTTTTTTCGTTTATTAATATTATTATTATTTTTTTTAATCACATCAGGTATTATGTGATTATTATGTAAAAAAAATTTGTTTTCGTTTTTCGTTTTTCTTATTTAATTACCCGTTTAAAAAAGTTATGTGTTTAAAAAAAATTATACAAATATTCCATGTTTTTTATAAAATTACACACACCTGTATTATGAATAATAAACATACTTTAAGTAGGTTACAAAACATACTTTAAAAACATAAACATACAATCTTCATAATAAACATACTTTAAAATAAACTTCATTCATTCAAATTGAACCACGAAAACTTTGATCTGTTACAACCTTCATAATAAACATACTTTGAAATAAACTTCATTTATTCAAATCGAACCACAGAAACTTTGATCTGCAGAAGTCCAGGTAAGGAGTTTTTGACCGAAGGGGAGGTTAGTTCCCAGTTACCGGTTGAAAGATACCAAAGGGGAGGTTAGTTCCCGGTTACCGGTTGAAAGATACCGAAGGGGAGGTTAGTTCCCGGTTACCGGTTGAAAGATATCGAAGGGGGGCCCCGCTCCCAATTATGTCAGGTTAATACCGGTTGAAAGATACTGAGGAACAAGCATTAGGTGGTATGTGGTATGATGGGGGAACTCACTAAGCTTTGTGCTTACAATTTACAGTTTGTTTTTAGGTACCTCTTCATCAAAGGGGAAGGAGTCGACACGGTAGCAGCGCATCACACACACACACTCGTTTTCTGCATTATGATGTCCTTGGGATTGTACTCTGACATATTTATTACTTCATGACATGTTTCTACAACATTTGACTTATGGTTTATGAGTTGATATGATATTGATGCTGCTTTTCAGTAAATGGTTTTAATAAATTACTTTATAAAAAACGAAATTTTTGGTCTAGAAAATCAGGATGTTACACTCAACATGGATTGTGTGGTTTTCATCTAATAGGAAAGATAGTCCACACCTTTGGAAAAAACAAAAAAATAGCAATTTTGTTTTGGAAGCTGGTAAGAGCTTACAAAACCACTGAGTTTGAATTCTATTGGCGGAGACTTCGTAATATAAGAGATGATGTAGCGACATATCTCGGTTAAATTCCACATTAGAAATGGACAAGAGCGTATTGCCCTACCACGAGGTATGATTATATGACCTCAAATAGTGCGGAGTCCATGAATATTGTATCAAATAAAGCAAGGAAGTTGTCTATATTACCACTTCTTGAGTTCTTTCGTGCACTTATGCAGAAATGGTTTTACAAACGGCGGATGGCTGCAGGTATGATTATGTTTAATTTTAAATTATATGATAAATCTCATATATAATAATATATGTTTGTTTTAACAGAAAAAAGTACAACAATACTTACGAAGTGGGCTGAAGATATGGTTAAAAAAAATAAAGAGGGGATTCAAAAATGGTCGGTATCCGGTGTTGACAATATAACATATCAAGTGCATGACTTCAAAAGTGGCGGCATAGTGAATTTGAGGGAAAAGACTTGTTCTTGCAGATATTGGCAACTAACTGGTTTGCCATGTGGTCATGTGATAATGGTTTTAACGCACTTAAAAAATGATCATTGTGGGCATATGGCTATAGATGCTTATAAAATTGAAACATATCGAAGAACGTACGAGCAGGCCGTATACCCTCTTTCAGAACTTAGTGATTGGGAGGTTCCAGATGACCTTATGGTTGTTAACCCTCTTGTGATGGAAATACGTCAAGCCGGTAGACCAAAAAACACCAATTGTATTCCCTCTGAAGGTGAGGAACCAAAAATAAGAAGGTGTAGTAGATGTCATAGCACAACTCATAATGCAAGGACGTGTAAGGAAATCGTACCAAAGAAACACAGTAAAAGTAAAAAACGTACTGGGGCGTCAGGGAGTGGGACAAAAGCGACAGAAGAGGAACCGACGCAGGCAACCGAAAACCAATGGCAGCATGAGCCAGCACAACATACCGAACAACAATGGCAATAGCAGCCAGACAACCAATGGACATAACAAACCGAAAATCAATGGCAGCAGCAGCCAGACAATCAATGGACACAACAGACCGAACATCAATGGCAGCAGGAGCCACATAACCAATGGACGCAAGGGACCGAATACCAACCGCATGAAGAGCCACAGAACCAATGGCAGGGTTGCACCGAGTACCAATGACAGCAAGAGCAAGATAACCAATGGACGCAAGCGACAGTAAACCTAGGGACACAAGCAACAAAAAACCCATGGACGGAATACGAAAACAGATCAAAGTTTCCGTGGTTCGATTTGAATAAATGAAGTTTATTTCAAAATATGTTTATTATGAAGGTTGTATGTTTATGTTTTTTAAAGTATGTTTTGTAACCTACTTAAAGTATGTTTATTATTAAGAATATCGGTGTGTGTAATTTTATAAAAAACATGGAATATTTGTATAATTTTTGTTAAACACATAGCTTTTTAAAATGGGTAATTAAATAAGAAAAACGAAAAACGAAAACAAATTTTTTTTACATAATAATCAAATAATACCTTATGTGATTCAAAAAATAATAATATTAATAAACGAAAACAAAAATAAAAAAATTAAAAAAATTAAAAAAAAAACAAGATCCGTAGAGGTTTTCATAGTTCCGCAGAGGTGTTTATGGTTCCGCAGAACTCCCTCTGCGAAACCTTTGGTCATTTTCCAAAATCCTCATTTACATTGTCATTTTCTTCGGAACCCCACTCTTTTTTGGTTATTTCTAGAAATTTCTCTACATTGATATAATAGTTAGACTAAATTTTATTCCCCACAAATTAATGTCTAGGACCATGGCCCTGATCACTCAGACTTTTGGTCGGCCCTATTGACAACTTTGAACTAATCGCCTACACTGATCTATTACTCCTATTTTTTAACTATTCTATTTGAACCTTCGTCAATTTAAGGGAGAGATATTTTCAAACATTTTGGTACCGTTAGTAATTAAATAACTAATTAAGTCTTATATAAAGGGGTAGATAAGTCTCCTATAGTTAACCAACTAAGTGACTTTGGCAAGTTGCTTTAGGAACTTTATGCTATTAATGTGGCACATCTCTAACGTAATTTATTCCCGATTGTAAGAACTGTTTGCATTATCTTAACCATCTTCATCGATTGGTTATTATGTGGATGGAAACTAAGACCGCAAAATAGTGCAAGTGTGTTCATAATCAGAATGGTTCACCATTAATGTCATTCTAACAAATCCAGTTGCTAATTAGGGATTTATGAATCCGTCCCTGTAAGAAAAATTCTAGTAGTGTGGAGAGGCGATTATGCTAAGTTTTTTCTTGTAGAAATCCAAAGAATTAATAATGAATTTGGCTGTAACTTTGATTAAGCCTTTTCCTTTATAGCAAGGTGCTAAGATTAATCGTATACTCGTGTTGTTTGTTTCCTTCGCACTTATTAGCTTTTATATTAAAAATATTAATCTATACCACCTTCCCATGAAAAAATGATCCCTATACCAGAGACTAAGCCAATGAAAAACTTCATGCATAAAAAACCTCAACAAATTAATACTTCAAATAGATATAGTGAATCGAATACGGACAAATGGCAAGGCCAAGTTTTTTATAGTTTCTGTTGCAATTATATAGTAATAACCGGCAGTATATGTTGAATCAACTATCCTGTCAACGTTTCATGGTTTGAGCTTACACGAACCTGCTCTTCCATCTCATACCCTCCATTTCTTTTCATTATTCTTCTTTGGAACATAAGGTGGAGGTAGTGGTGGTGGCACATTTGAGGTCTTCAAAAGCGGAGGTGCACCTTATTGTTCTTTGAACGAGGAAATGGAGGTTGTGCTGTCACGTTAGAGCTCTCCGGACGGGGAGATGTCGGTGGTGAGAACATCCTCTTTGACTCTGGCGGTGGAGGTAAGACAGTAATCAACTTGGACAATAGAGATGAAGGAGGATTTGGAGTTGGAGTAGGTGTTGGAGATGTTGATGGAGCCTAAACACCAAGTGTAGATTTAGTTATGTATATACAAGTAATGGAATTAGTATACATCTGACGTTTGGTGCATAGAATGTATAAACAAAAATATGGTACTAAAAGATCCAACTACCCGTTATTATATATAAAAAGAAGCATAATAGTTCGAAAATATAAAAAAAGAAATTACCTTACTTTCAAATAAAAACTATCGTTAATCGGTTAACTCGCAAAATTGGAATGTACTGTTTTCATTTATATATAACACAACAATAATTCAAATACTTTTTGAAAACCTCATGTTCTTAGTTTTCTTGAAATTAATTCATAATAAAATGAAGAGGTCAAGATGATTACCAAAAATGAGTAAACAAAAAAAGGAAAAAAGCAACATACCTGATATATGAGTGCCGTTTCGAGTGCTCTCACAATCTCGTTCATCAATGGACGTTGTTCACGGTCTCTCTTCAAACATCGATAAGCAATTGATGTAAATGCCTCCAAAGAATCAGGATTTATTTCATCCTTTATATTACGGTAAATAATTTCACTTACTTTGTTTTGTTTGTAACTCTTTCGAACCATTTCCGTAAAAGATTGGGCCTTATTGTTGTAGCTAATACATACCCTGCCACACAAAACTTCAAACAACACTACCCCAAATGAATAGACATCTGACTCTTTTGTAAGTAACCCCGTCTCTACGTATATCGGGTCACAATACCCAAACGTGCCTACTGTATTAGAGACAAGAAATGTGTATTGTTGGTTAGCAGGACCAAACTTGGATAAACCTAAATCCGCAATCCTCGCATTCCAATTTTCATCTAAAAGAATATTGGAGCTTTTAATATCCCGGTGCAATACTCTTTGTTGAGTCCCAGCAGGATTATGAAGGTAAGCTAGACCGCGAGCTGCCCCAATGCATATCTTCAGTCTCCGAACCCATGTTAAATCATCGCTCTTAAGATACAAGTCTAGACTTTTCTTTGATGCATATTCGTATACCAGAATCTTCTCTCCACTGTCATCACAAAACCCTAAGAGAGAAACAATATTTTCATGTTTATAAAGAGAAAGCATAACAATCTCCTTCCAAAACTCAGGGTCTCCCTGCCCAAATGTACGATCTAAACGTTTTAAAGCAACTGTGGTTTGACCCTTCAAGTGGACATGTAATTCGCCCTTATACACTTTTCCAAATCCCCCTCTCCCGATGCAATTGTTTTCCGCAAAATTGTTTGTTGACGATATTATGGCTTCTAGTGGTATTTTAAGATGTTCAAACTTTTTTGTGATAGACAACATTTTGACGATGGATCAAAAAAAAAAAGAGACCAGGCTAACCTTCAAAGAAGTAATTAAGTTGACTGGTTTGAAAGAGATCGACATATATAGATTCTATCTTTTGGATTTGGGAAGGGTTTTAAAGAGATGATATACTATGCTATCCCTGTAATATATAAATATAATGCGGTCCAGCTGGCATCGATAATTCTATCTCGTCCCTTTCTAAGTTTTCTCCACTTACAAAACGTTTTTTGCGGTCCCCAAACCACAATTATACAAGTGGTGTTAATTATTGAATTTTCTAAAGTTTAATTTTGGTAAACGTGTAACCACAATTATACCAAAAAAAAAAAAAAAAAATTATTGAATTTTATAAAGTTTACTTTATGTCAAAAAAGAATATATATCTAATGAACTCCAGGCATGGTAATTTGGCTCTTTTTGGGGACTTCAACGCTGTTAGAAGTCCAATTAAGAGATTTAACTCGGTCTTTTGTCCGCGTACTGCCGGTGCTTTCAATAAGTTTATTAACAATGCTGGCCTAATCGAGCCCAACATGGATGGCAGGAGATTTACATATTTATGTGACGATGGCTGGAAGCTTAGTAAGCTTGATCGTTTTTTGGTTAGTCCTTCGTTTTTGGTGAATTTTCCTTCTACAAATGTTATGGTGCTGCCCCGTGAATTTTCCGATCACTCTCCGGTGATTCTTAGCACGTTTCATCTCGATTTCGGGCCTTCTCCTTTCCGCTTCTGTAATTCTTGGATGTTACGTGAGGGTTTTGGCTTGGTTGTGGCAAATGCTTGGAAGAATTTTGTAGGTGAGGGTGTTCCTGATAGGCTCCTCTCAAATAAATTGAAGTACCTTAAAAATGAAATTCGTAAATGGAGGGTGCTTGAATCTGAAACAGAAAACAAGGTGTTGGCGGATCTTAAGGAGAAAGTCAATGACCTTGACCTTGCTGTGGAATCAAGGCCTTTATCAATCATTGAGTTGGCTTCTTTGAAAGAGTTCAAGCATAAAATTATCGAGATGGATACATTATCAAAGATGGATCTCATTCAAAAATCAAAAGTTAAATGGTTGTCAGATGGAGATGAAAATTCCCGTTTTTTTCATAATTTCCTGAAAGTTAAGAATAAAAAGTGTCGCATTCAAGGGCTAATGATCAACGATAGTTGGGTCAAGGATGTTGATCTTATTAAGGAGGAGGTTGTTTGGTTTTTTGGTTCTAAATTTCGTGAAGATTGCATGATCATACCTTTTTTCTCTAACCCCAACTTTTTATCGCTCTCTGACGTTGACAGGTCCTTCGTTGAGGCTCCATTTGAGTGGGAAGAAATCAAAAACGCCATCTGGAATTGTGGGAATGAGAAAGCCCCAGAGCCCGATGGTTTCTCCTTCAAAATTCTCAAAAATTTCTGGCCCTTGTTGCAAGATGATATCATGAGATATGTTAAACATTTTGAGAAGTTTGGAAGACTTTCTAAAGGAAGCAATTCCTCGTTTATTACCCTTCTCCCCAAAGTAAAGGATCCTCTTTCTTTAAGTGATTATAAGCCGATAAGTCTCATCGGCTGTGTGTATAAGATCATGGCGAAAACTTTTACACTTAGAATAAAAATGGTGATTGGGTCGGTTATTGGTGATGTTCAGACTACTTTCATTGAAGGGAGGAATATCTTAGATGGCCCCTTGATTATTAATGAAGTTTGTGTGTGGGCAAAGGCGTATAAGACAAAAACTTTCATGTTCAAGGTGGATTTTGACAAGACGTTCGATTCCATAAATTGGAATTATTTAGACTTTGTTATCATGCAAATGGGATTTGGTGATAAATGGAGATTTTGGATCAAAGGGTGCCTCTCGTCTGCTAGAGCCTCAGTTTTAATTAATGGGTCGGCCACTAAAGAATTTTCTTTGTCCAAAGGTGTGCGTCAAGGAGATCCGCTCTCTCCTTTTCTCTTTATTATTGCCATGGAGGGTCTCAACGTCGCCATGAAATCCGCTTGTCAAAAATCCCTATTTCATGGCATCAATATTCCTAATGAGGGACCTTCGATCTCCCATATCTTCTACGCTGATGATGCCTTATTTGTTGGGACATGGGACAGCTCCAACTTTGCTAATTTGTCGCGCATTCTGTAACAACCCGTTATTTTTCAAGTCAATAAAAGTCAAACCCTTTTGATAAAATTTGAATTTTGTTGATTTTTGTTATGATCGTAAGAATTAAAACACGATTTAAATTATATAAATGATGCTTTTATATAAGTATTTTGAATAAAAATACTCTCAAAAATGAAAGTTTTTCCATTGAAACCGAGAACTTTCGGACCGAAAACCCCTTTTCGGCCGAGAACTCTCGGATTGCAAACTCTTTTCGGCCGAGAACCCCTTTCCGGACGAAAACCCAACCGGTATAAGTATTTTTCCTCGAAACATAAGTCATTTCCTCACTTTCTCACTCGAAAACTCTCCCATTTTGCTCTCAAATATCATCCAAGAATCTTCAAACATTCAAGAAAAATCCTTCAAATCTTCATAATTTTCACCAAGAACACCACGAACAATCTTCAAATCTTCATCTGACCGGAAACACGTTCCCAACCGAAAACGAGTTCCCAACCGAAAACACCATAAGACTGAGAACCTGGTTCTCGGTTGAGATCTTTAGACCGAAATCAAGGAATTTCGGTGGAGGCCAGACCGAAAACCCTTAGCATTCTCCAAATAAAGCTCGGTAATTATTCCATACATAAAATTTGTGTTGTCTAACACTTTAATTAATTATTTCGCTAATTTAAATACGATTATGTGTTTAAATAATATCAGGATGCCGTTCTTTCACGTATTCTAATATGAGGATCATCATTAGCACTTCGCGACTCAACCGAGCACACACATTCGAGGTGAGTTCATACCCCTACGTTTTCACTAATTTTCAATGTTTTTAAGGGGGGGGGGGGGGGGGGGGGGGAGAGGGGAATACAAGTAAAACACAAGAAATCTTGTGTAAATATTCAAATGATTTCAAACGATTTCGAACCATGTCAAGCTATTTCAACTTATTCAAACTATTTTAAACAGTTTCAAACTACTTCAACTATTTTATACTTTGGTTTTCCTAAAATGCATGTTTATACACATATGCTTTATATATTTATGTGTGAATATAAAACTCGATAGGTAAAAATTTGACCCTTTTGTAACATGTCGAGCAAAAGGGTATTCTCAAATATTTTATTGTGCTATACAAACCGTTAAATTCCAAGATTTTCATTACATACAAGAACATACATGTAAACTATAATAGGTATAGTTTAGAGAACATTACACGGTTTTACTAAGACAAGGATATCATACTAAAACAATTATCTAACCATAATTATTGTACACTACTAGTACAAGGTAATACATATGTTTTCATGAACAAGAGAACACTAGTACACTATACGTAAACTAGTTAATACAGGGTTGTGAGGAACTATTTCGGGGTACCCATCAGGGTACCGGTTCAAGTCCTATAAATTATAACCACAGTCTCCTGGAGGGAGAGCGTGAATTTGTGTATAGATCTATACAAGACTGACAATCCCGCGCCCTGACTGTTAGCTACAGTTGGAACGGAAGTTCTGGGGTGACAAATGTCATAATATTCTGACGCTTGAAGAACGTTGTGCATGCCACTAGTCATTTTAGCATGGTTATATGAAACTCCCAATAGTATCAACTAAAACGTTAGTTTACGGGAAATACACAACTTTAAAAGGTTTTATTTAAATAATAGAACTACACCACACTACGACTCTAGCACTATGAACTTACATTATTGAAAGGAATTTTAATTCTAATTCTATGATCGCTTGATTTATACATTAGGGTTATATATAAATGATATCCGATGGGCAGTAGGATGGGTGAAGTCCGCTTTACTTCCTGTTCCTTGTTTGGTTGTGGGCTTAGAGCAGAATCACACAGTCTACTACTTATTCGATTTTGGTTATATATGACTTGTATACATTAAGTAATCATAAGGGGAAACAATTATGGGTCAAGTCACTATATACGAGAACAGTACACTATTTTCTAACACAGAACATATCTTTCTGAGGAAAACATATATCTATATAGTTTTATTTGATAATACAACTACAAGTATACTATTTCAGAGTACATTAATATGCATACATTAGGGTCTTAAGGTTTAAAGACTACATCTCATTTTACTAAGAAAATATTGGATTTTCTGAAGGAACACACTCACATTATCTGTAACGACGTAAATTTCCA